TATCACTATATAAATATTGTTTCGCTTCGTCATCTCGAGTATTTAATTCAAAATAATCCAACAGCATTGTCATTCGTTCTACAGCCGATCTTATCGCATCATTATTTATATTTTCATCAATGATTACACTATGTTCATTTGGCAAATGTACCGGTAAACGAAAAATAGCGTGACTCTTTTCTTGTAAAGGTTTTCTTAAAATACGCCAACATGCTTCCACAGGTCCCACATAACGAGCTTCGATAAAATCTCGAATTTCATCATGAATTATCGTTTTATCTATATTTTCTCCAATAATTACAGATGCAGCGTCGTGACCTTTATAAATATATTTATACAAATATTTTACAGATCGTATACTCGAAACTATTTCCACATTAATATGACTATTAAATAAAAGTAAAAGCGTTGGATTATACGGAACGACATATCGATTATTAACAATATATCGTCCAGGTCTTTCGTAAAATAATTCATCATTTCGTCGACAATATTGTGGATAACCATCTTCATCCATGATCGTTTCAGATTGAAACTGTTTTGGAAAATGTTTCGAACATTTATTATTTATCAAACACCAATCTCCACATGGCCCATGAATCATATGTTTCATTACAACATTGTGTAAATTTGCATTTTTATCAGGATTCGGAATTTCTGCTGAAATAAATTTATCAACTGCTTCAGGATTCAATATCTTATAATTTTGTTTCAAAGTAACCAACAAATGTATGTGTGGCAATCCACGTTTTTGAAATTCTATTACATAAACATACGCAAGAACTTCACCAAAAAATTTTTGTCTAACAATAATATCAAATAATTTTTTTTTATATTAAATACACGAGCACATATATCTGATCTATCTGCAGGATTTGGAAGTAGATTTTCTCTAATTTCACGCCAATTTGGATTACAAGTCATGGTAATAAAAAGATCCGGTTTTCCATATTTTCTAACAATAGCCATCGCATCTTGATAATGTTGCAACATATTACGCGGTGATCCTATAAACGTCGATGGAAGTATAATCATTTTTCCTATATGAGCATCATTATTATTAGCAGTATTTG